TTTAAAAATTATTCTCTCATGGTAATTTTTCTATTACCAATTACTTTAACTCAACTTTTTTCTCTAACTAGGCAAACCTAAGAAAAAAATTTATATTCAAGAGATTCTGTTAGTCTGAGACTTCCTATATATATTCCCGGATGAACTACTCAAACTGCCAATAGACAAAGAAGTTGAATTTATCATAGATCTTCAACTAGGCACCTAGCCTATTTTGGTTGTCCCTTACCGCATGAGTCGTGTTGAAATGGAGAACTTGAGGAAATAGATCAATAAATTGTAGGATAATAGATTCATCCAATATAATGTGTCCCCTTGTGGTGTTGGAGTCACACTTGCAATGAAGGGGGATTAGAAGTTAATGTTACGTATTGACTACATGAGACTGAATAGAGTCACGATCAAGAACAAGTACCCTATCCCCAAGATCGATGATTTTTTTGATTAGTTGCAGGGTGTCTAGATCTTCTACAAAATAGACATGCATTCAAGTTACCATCAGGTAAAGATCAAAGTAGAAGACATTCCCAAAATAGTTTTCCGAACTAGGTATGGACACTATGAGTTCCTGTTCATACCATTTGGATTAACCAACGCACTACCCATCTTCATGGATTTGATAAATAAGATTTTCAGACAATTCCTGGATCAGTTCATTATTGTATTTATTGATAATATCCTGATTTATTCAAAAAGCATAGAGGAACATGCTCACTATCTGACTCATGTTTTGTAGGTTCTTAGATAAAAAAAGTTGTACGCAAAGTTGAGTAAATGTGGATTCTGTCTCAAGCAGACTACCTTCCTATGGCATATCATATCGAGGGACAGAGTGTTAGTCAACCCCGAAAAGGTTGAGGCAGTGCTCAGTTGGGAGAAATTGACATCGGTCAAGGAAATTCGTAGCTTTCTAGGGATGACAGATTATTACTGCAGGTTTGTAGAAGAATTTTCTAGCCTACCTACTCAATTGACTCAGCTCACAAAGAAGAACGTTAAGTTTGAGTGGAATGGGAATTGTAAAAGAAGCTTTTTAGAACTAAAAAAGCAGTTGACTACTGCATCTATGTTGGCCTTGTCGAGTAGAACATGTGGATATACAATTTATAGTGATGCCTCCTACCTGGGATTAGGTTGTGTTCTGATGCAGTATGAGAATGTCATATCCTATGGGTTCAGGTAGTTGAAGAGTCATGAGAAAAACTACCCCACCCATGACTTAGAACTTGCCGCGATTATCCACGCCTTGAAGACTTTGAGCCATTACTTGTGTGGGTAAGACTTTTCAGATTTATACCGACTATAAGAGCTTGAAACATATATTCACTCAAAAGGATCTCAACATGTGTGAGAGACGATGGATAAAACTCCTCAAGGACTATGACTGCAATATCTTGTATCACCCGAGCAAGGATAACGTGGTAACCAACGCACTCAGTAGAAAAAGTACAAGTATATTAGCTCACCTAATAGTTTCAGAATGTAGGGTAATAGGGGTCGCACAACAAGTACAACTTCAGGACCTAAAGAGAGTTATATGTTTTGCCCATCTGACTGTTCAACCTGAGTTGATTTAGAGAACAAATGAAGCTTAATCCATCGATTCTACCCTAGCAACCCTCATTAAAGATGTAGAACCGAAAGTAAATTTAAAATTTTGAGTCTTTGCCGATGGGTTGCTCAGATTTCAGGACAGAGTGTGTGTTCCATATGACAGTGAGCTGAAAATGTACATAATGATAGAGGCTCATAGCTCAAAATTTGTCATGCATCCTGGAAGCACTAAGAAGTATCAAAGTATGCGACCCTAATTTTGTGTGAACAAGATGAAAAGAGAGGTGGTCAACTCTATTTCTAAGTGTATGGTGTGTTAACAAGTCAAAGCAGAACACCAATGCCTAAATGGACTACTTCAGCCATTACCGATTCCATAGTAGAAGTGGGAACACATCACAATGAATTTTGTGACAGGACTGCCTAGGGCACACTGGAGACATGGTGCCATTTGGATAATTGTTGACCGACTCACCAAGTTTTCCCATTTCTTGGCCATCAAGATGACCGATCCCTTGGACAAACTAGCAAAAATATATATATGGGAAATAGTTAGGTTACATGAAGTGTCAGTGACAGTAATATCCGACAAGGACCCCAGGTTCACTTTTCAATTCTGATCTAGTCTTCAGTAGGCCATGGGAATAAAATTATCTCTTAGTATCGCATTCCACCCTTAGACCGATGGACAATTAGAAAGGACGATCCATAGACTGGTGACTATGCTTCAAGCTTGTGTTCTTGACTTCGGAGGCCATTGAGATGATCATTTACCCTTAATAGAGTTTACCTACAATAATAGCTACCAAACAAGTATCGGCATGACTCCGTACGAGGTGTTATATGACCGCCCATGCAGATTCTCGATATGTTGAGAAGAGATGGATGATAGAAAATTATTTAGTGTAAATCTTGTGGATGAGACTACAGTCAAAATAGTTAAGACTAGGAAGAACATCCAGACGACTTAGAGTAGACATAAGAGTTATGCGGACACCCAGAATAGGGAGTTGAATTTTGAGAAAGGTGATCAAGTATTCCTTAAGGTCACTCATTTCAAGGGAATCAGTAAGTTTGGCAAGAGGAAAAAACTAAATCTCCAGTTTATTGGGCCATTTGAAATCTTAGACAGAATTGGTACCACAGCCTACAAACTAGCACTACCTCCAGAACTATTCAGAGTCTATAATATGTTTCATGTGTCCATGCTACGCAAGTACAAGCTCTTCTCACATTTTGGCCCATAAGCCCCTTTCACTTAAGGAGGATTTGTTTTATGAGGAGGTACCGGTGGACATTGTGTACTAAAAGAGTAGAGTACTCCGCAATCGAAAATTTATTTCGTTAAGATCTTATGACAGAATCATACACAGAGAGAGGCCATCTTGTGAGGTAGAATCAGATTT